GGCTCCGTTGTGACAGTTACATGTGTGGATGCAGTCTGGGCCCCACGAGCCCTGAGGACACGCTGCCAATAACACACACACACACACACACACACATTGTTAGAGAAACACACACACACACACACACAATCTCTTCTTAAACACACTAACAAACGCCACCAGCCTGAGGACCGGACGTGAGCAGGACGGTCTGTGCCTTCATTAGCTTCACAAGTGATGGAGTGATGGCGGTATCTGTGCTTCAGTGTAAGATGGGTAATTAATGTCAGAGCCGATCGAGTAATTGCCTTCCAGTTTGTTTTTTTCTCCACCACTCGTCTCTGAGTGGTTCATGGTCAACTTAAGCGCGAATCGAGTGACTAACAGAGCGCAGAGGAAATTAATTTTAGTCGCTTCTTTCTTAAAAAACAAAAAAACCCCAAAGAATTAAGGGCCAGTGAGTGCCGAGGTGAGAGATTATTTGTTTGCGTCTTACGTTTGGAGCAGTCCTCGCCGATCCATCCCGGGTAGCACTGACAGGAGCCGTCGATGGGGTTACAGGTGCTGTTGTTGGTGCACAAACACGCCTCCACACAGGCTTTACCGAACTTTCCACTGGGACACACTGACACACACACAAACACATGCAGTCACTTATTATGATCACTGGTAGTGTAGAAATACTCTTAAAGCAGCCTTCTCTGTTGATTCTGGCGCCCCCTGTGGATTACAGCGGTAGTGATTCATTGATTTCAAGGGGAATTCAACCCAGTGGCAGATATTAAAGTCCATTTTACCCTTTAAGATCACATCCTTTGTATGACACAAAATATTACAAAAACTCAATTTCTTTGTATTTTTATATCATGATACAATCATTTTATCTTCCTGTAAAACTAAATGTGACGCGTGCTTACGTAAACATGACCTGATTTCAACCAATAACATCCTGACATTCATCCGTCAATCAATCTTCAACTTTTAGCAAGAAGGGTCACAAGATGTTAACAAAATATGTTTAGAAGAATAAAATGCAAATAAATTAAGTTTAAAAGAAAATACGATTCAATGAAAATTAAAAGTCTCTTTTCAGAACAGGAAGCTTTACTGACCTTCGCTTTCAATAAAACATTCAGATCTAAACTCACGTTAATCAGCATTAATTAATTAATTTGATGTGAAATGAGTTTTTCAGTTTATAGGTTGTTTGTTTTACCAACTGATGTTAAAGAAGTGAATAAACTGATTGTCTCTAATGTGATGAGCTCCAGAAAACAGAAATAAAAAAAGGAGCTGGAGGAAGCTACAAGTTAGTCTGTTAATCATTTTAGGGAAATGCATCCTCATCCTGTTGCTTAAGGATGTAATATTTCTTTCTTTCTACTTTTTTTTAATATTCAGATTTCACTAAATGCAGTTAAACCGATAAAACCACTGAGACACAGATTCTGTAGCGTCTGACAACCTGATAATATATTAATGTGCTCTGGGGTTTCTGGTTTCCAGTCAACATGAGCGCACGCGCTGCTGCTACTCCGTTTACACATCAACGTAGCGTTAAATATGTGAGTTTATTAAGTTAATTAGTATCTTATAAAACTTCATAAACAAGCGTTTGCAGTGTTACTCCCCGGACAGGACAGAAAGAGGAAATATCATATGACATTTTAAACAGCTCAAAATTAGAAATATTATGAGCTGGCATTTAGTTTGACCTTACCTTAATGTTTAATGAGTTGTTTGCATTGCATAATCAGGACTGCACAATACGAGATACAGCGTGTGCTTGAAGTAATCTTCATAAAACATTACAGCCCTATTACATTTTTATGAATTTCTTCCTAATGTTAATGTTTGGGTATAAATAAAAACATTATATATACATAAGCTATGCAGATATTCATTATTATAACATTTTGCACATATTTGCATTTTACTACATTTTCCACCTGTTACATAAAAAGTATTGTCTTCATTAATAGCTTCTGCCTGTGTGTGCTTATAATAGCCATTAGCCAGCCGTGCGTTGTTTCACTAAAACCCAGACGGAGATTCTTTACTGTGAATATGAGCGCAATAATGATTATCATGAAAGCTTTAATGAAGTCCACACTTATGTAACACTTACCAACGTCTGACTATTAGTTTGTAAAGTTTGGATCAAAGTACACCGTACGTACAGGACGTATAAATAAAAGGAGTTTATAATTAGCAGGAGAGGGACTGTTCAGCAGCTCCCTGATGATCTTCTGTTAACTTTTAATTATTCATTTCTCAGATGCACTAACAGTGACGCCATTACAATACTTTGGTCCGGAGTGAAATATCCAGATTGGAGTTGTGAAATCAGCTTTACCTTCAGCTTAATGCTAACATGCTATAGCATCACAGTGTAAAACATTCTTATACTTTTATACTTTTATACTTATATACACAACTTAGTCCATACAAGGCTTCCGAACTCTTATATCCTTATTCCACCACTGGACCACTCAGATCATTATACTTTTCATAACTAATTTTACTGACTTGCCTTCCCTGCTACGGCGGTATAAGTTGCATTGCGATATGTGTATGTTGTTTATTTTATCTGTATTTATAACCTGTGCAGCACTTTGGAATTTTGTTAGCAATATACTTTAGCATTAAGCTAAAAGATTAAGTAAATCTGAGATTGTCAGAAGGACGATTTAACCAGAGTTTGTGATTGTTGGAAACACTAACAGAGACGGTTTTAATGAGTTTTATTCTGTTTCTGTCCACTTTGAATGAAGTTACGATGATCTGAAGGTAAAATGAGTGTTTTTGTCTCTGAGAGTCTGGATGGAGTAGTGAAGTGATTTAAAATTTTACAGGGCTGCGTTTGTGTTTAGAACTCCCAAAAAGGTGCTATCCCTTTGTAGGGATCCTTGTCATAATTCAATTCAATTCCAATTCAATTGCCAATTCATTCATTCAATTTTACTTGGTATAGGCCGCCAAAATGCATAACAGAAGTTATCTCAAGGAACACCTTTTCAAATAGCAGCGTCTAGACCGAACTGCCTTATAACATTTACAGAGACCCCATACCAGTACCCACCATAGCGCAAGATTGGCGACCCGCCCGGGCAAGGAAAACCTGGCCTTGTTAACGGGCCCAGAAACCTCGGCGACAGACCCCTTCTCGGCTCCTGAAGGTGGCAGTGGTCATCGCCTTGAACCAGTTGGGGAGAAAGAGAGAGAGAGAGGTAGAAGAGAGAGAGACAAGAGACAGAGGACAGAGACCACGCCAACCAAGATGTACAGGCAAAACAGAAGCAACAACTACAACTTCGAAAGCAGCAATGAAATCCGATGACGATCATGAAAAAGACGGTGACGACGGCGACAGCTAGAAACGACGGGGAACAGCGATCACGGCCGGACCAACCCCAGCAACGCGCACAAGAAAAATAGTCTACAGCAACAACTAAGTAATCAAAAATAATAATGACTGCCAAGACACCTGACAAGACAACCTGAGTCTGCAGCTGGGAAAAGCAAACTACTACTGTTGTGGAACAAACCAAACAACCTACTGTGTTGGAACAAACAACAACAGCTGTCGCTAGTGTACACAAATTTGACGGCGCCCATCTTTGTTCTAAAAAACAAGATTAGTTAACGTTACACAAACAGCCCATTAAGGGTTATTTCGACAAAGCAGACAAAGTTTTAGTGATTTTTATTTTAGTTCTTCCCAGTCCAGTTTGAAGTGTGTTTTATGATTATCTGCTTGGTAAAATTACTGGTTTTGTCAACTGGTTGGCTGTAACGCTCACTTGCTTTGGTCTGTGATGCTAGTGCTCAGTGCGACTTCTAGTGGAATTGTGTGCATATAACCTTAAAATATTTATAAAGAACAATGGAAGGAGGATATATGGAATAATTACTTATTACATTTAAATAAAAAAAAAACTACTACTTACTATAATTACCAGAGAAGTTCCTGTGTGCGCTGCCTTACAACTGATGTGTGCAGCTATAAAGGTATTCCTGGACAGCAGTGATTATGACTATCTTGATGTGTGTCAGGGTGAATTTAATTTTGTGTTTCATTAATTTCCAGGTAAAGCCTCCTAAGGGCTCACGATTTGAATAATTCAGTTAATGAATCCTTATTTATTTTGGTTGTCTGCTGGAGGAGAAACGCCCAATGTGACGGAAAAAAAGATTCTGTTAGTTAAAATAATGACTTAGCATCTCAAAATATTTTTTTATTATTTTCACTTTGTGATATTATGTCAATATTTTTTTTGTTTTTCATTACAATGACTAACAGAATCCAGGGTTTATATGGGCTCCCACAGAAACCATGTCTCCTTCCTAAAAGGAGATTTCCTGTTGTGTAAATCCTGAAAAACAAATGTGATTTCTTGCTTTTAAGTGGTGAAAACCCTTTTCGTCTCAGTTAACGGTTCATTCTCACACACAACAAGCTGTTTTCTTCTGAGACCCAACAGAGGGTTCAGCAGTCAATAACGTCATTAGCTCGTACAAAAGGGTATCAAACATGGAGAGAACGGGGATGAAGTGTGACTTGCTCTTCAGGCGGTTAAAAGCCTCCGTGCTGGACATCTGATTTATCCAGGCTCGCCCAGTTATCTATGGGGCCTGCTCAAAGATGCAGCGGCCAGCAGAATGGCTAATGTAGGACAGGGCATAACTAAGGCCGTCTTCATGTTTAATGATGATGAATATTTCACAGCACACTCCTCCTGTGTCGCTATTTAAAATTCGACTTGGCAACGAACCTTGGACCAACTGTCTTCATTGGAGAATTAACACCTGTTTGACCTGCAGAGGAGCTAAACCGTACAGCAGTAATGATGTACTGGAGGAGCTGACAAAAAGAGTATTCAGATAAAACCAAGAGGTGGGAGAAGTTGTAAAAAAAGAAAGAGGACACAGAAAGTGTCCAAGGTTTTAGATTTTCTTTCATTAACGTATACATCCTGGGGCTTCGCTTTGTATGCAGGGCTTTAGTTATAAACTGCACTTAATAAGAAAAAAACTGAGTTTTACAACAAAAGAAGGTTGCGCAGATGAAGATGTCAAGAGGCTGACTGCAGTGGTTAAATCATACACCAGCTGTGTTCTGTCCTGTTGCTAAATAACCTGGTTATGAGTTAAAAAACAGCTCTTGAAGGCTGTGAAAGCTGTGGAGTTGCTGCCATTACAAAACGGCATCAAATAAAGAAATGTGAATAAAATAAATCCTGCACCAAACTTTTCTGGCCGAAAACTCAAAAAAACTGAACCCGGAAACGGTGCACGCAAAACAGCGACTGCACTCCATGTCACCCTGTGTGACATGGGTCTAAAAATACGGTGGTCACAATCTGTGTCAGACTGTACAATATCAGGTTGGAGCCCATGGTGCTGCTGTCAAGGCTTCGGCCACAGCTCTTTTTAAAACTGTATTTAAAAAAACTTTCAGAGTCAGTCGGAGCATTCTGCATCATTTCATGTCGCAATTGGATTGGTTGGGTTGTGGATTTGATTATTAATGGAGCGAGCGTCGGTGTCATTTACACTGAGGACGCTGGGCAGTTTGTTCTCTTATATATCAGCGGTTCCCAACCTGGGGACCTGATCTATCAGCAGAAATGTAATATAATATTAAGTATATAAGGTATTTTTTCACTTTAAAGTTATTTGCTGCTATTTGAGTTTGAGTTTGAGTTTGACAGTTGCCTTGAGGTAGTTTGAATTTGTTCGACTTTTATAAATAAAATAGCATCAGCAGTGATTTGTATATATTAAAATGCCTAATGGCCAAATTGAACTTCATGTCGGGCCAACTTTGAAAAGCCCTAACGAGAGAAAGGAACTATCAAATTGCATTATGGGGAATGCAGGATTCATGTTTTTGGAGCTTGAGCCAAACTAGAGACTGAAAGTCAGGATCTCTGTGCCTCTGCTGCTTTTATTTTGACCATTTTCTAAAATAATCTGTATCTGAAGAATCCTCTGAAGGGGAAGTCGCTGGAGTGAATTTGAGATGTAGAAAGTATTTTTTTTAACCACGTCACACTTTTCACTTTCACTTTGGTCTTTGCACATAAACTTTGAGTCAAAGAAGATCTTGAAGGCTTTATCCTGCTCAAACTCTGCACTGAGGAGTTCAAGGAGAGAGCATAGGGAGAGCAGCTGGAGTTACGACTTACCCTGATTGCACAGCGAGCCAAAGAAGCCAGAGAGACACTCACAATGGCCGCTGACGTGGTGGCACGCGCCATCGCTGTGGATACACTGAGGACACGACTGGCTGCAACGGTGGCCGTAGAAACCAGGCGAACACGCTGCAGAGAACACACACACACACACACGCACGCACACACACACACACACAGTTAGGATGTGGGAGAACACACAAGGCCTTTCTCATATCCCAGTTTGTACATCCTCGCCTCCTTTCCTCTTATAAAACAAATATAATAAAAATCTAGAATATAAAAAAAACACACTATATATAATACATTAAATATGGTTAACTGGGTGTCAGGGATGTCATTTTCTTTTCAATCATGAACAATACAGCTGCTCAGTTTATTGCACTGTTATGTATAAATATATTAGTTTTTAATTGTGTGTTCTGTACTTTCAGGGGAAATTGAGTCAAACTCCCTTTCAGAAATATCCCATTTTAACAGTTCCTATGTGTCCAACAATTCGGCATCAATATAACCCGTAAACTGGAATTAATGTCACTGAATGTCAGACTTTCTGCTCTCTCGCTGCTGACAGTCGGCTAAAAGCTGTCAGTAGAAAGGTGGAAACCTCTTCATGAACTCCGGATCACGCAATGGATGGATCCTTTCACTGGCGGACATCTTTCCTCAGTTCAACGAGAGAGAGAGAGGACGGAGGAGAGAGGAGAGAGGACAGAGGACAGAGGACAGAGGAGAGAGGAGAGAGGACAGAGGAGAGAGGAGAGGAGAGAGGAGAGAGGACGGAGGAGAGAGGAGAGAGGAGAGAGGACGGAGGAGAGAGGAGAGAGGACAGAGGAGAGAGGAGAGAGGAGGGAGGAGAGAGGAGAGAGGAGAGAGGAGAGAGGAGAGAAGGGGGAAGGAGAGAGGACGGAGGAGAGAGGAGACAGGACGGAGGAGAGAGGAGGGAGGAGAAAAGGGGGAAGGAGAGGACGGAGGAGGAACAAATTAGAGAAATGAGAAAGGTCCAGTGTGTGTGAGAGAGAGAGAGAGCGAGAGAGAGAGAGAGAGAGGGAGAAGTCCCTTTCCAAACTTTCTGATTAGTTCTCTGATTAGTTCTTTGATCATTATAATAATGGATTTCATGGTCCACTTAATACCAATTTAAGCAAACTCCACGTATGTGAAAGCTTAATATTGTCCGTGTCCACCATACTTATATATGTGTGTGTGTGTGTGTGTGTGTGTGCGGAGGTCAACCTGTTGGCCGTGTTGGCTTTCCTTTGTTTTCCTTTCACCGCAGATCTTCCCTCATGCGTCTTCCTGAGGCCTTTAATTTGCTTTAATTAATGTTACTCTAAGTGGTGAGACAAGCCGGTGCAGACTGCTCTACCGCTCCTCTCACGCTACAGGATTTTCCTAATTAAGATAATTGCCTAAACTGTGAACCGAGAGCCCTTAAATTTATCACCCTGATGTCGGGAGAGGCAGAGGGAAGCTGGTGTGTGTTACATACATGTATCAACAGAAAGGCACGCCGTCACACTGGATTCACACTGCAGACTAAATCAACAAGTAGCCTCTGACTCAAGCAGGCTGTACAGTAGATGATCCAAAGTTCCTCCCTTAAAATAAACCCTTCTGACACCTGATTGTAGAACGCACTCCTCACCTGTTTTAGATGTCTGTTTAAGACGTAAAGAAAACATGGAGGCTCCTCTGGAAACATTAGAATTTCTCCTGAACTGTCTTTAAACACTGAGTGAGAGGAAAAAAACTGTAGAGACAGAATATTTTCTCCCTCTGTGAATTAAGGGTTTCTTTTGACCAGTTTGATTACAGAGAATACAGTACCAATGTGACAGGACTCTGACTCCAGGATCGATAAAGACACGGCAGATTCAGGCTGAGGTGGGAATGGAGGGAATTTATCAGTCAATTACAAACTGATATTTATTGATTTATCCCCTCCTCGTCATCTGTTTCTCAGATTATATTTTTTTAAATATACTTTTTTTGTATGTTCTGTAATTATAACTCAATAAAATGCAAATGATAAAATACCAACAAAATCATCCCTAGCAGGAAATCATACCACAGTTAACAGATATATTCATTACCAAAAAAAAGCTGACCGGTGCCATTAAATGCATTTAAATAACTAATATAATTAAATAAACTGCTTAAAAAATGTTAGCTAGTTGATTTGTCTGAGTTCGCGTTCAGCCTTTTCTCCACAACATTTCTGAGGGAAATTGTACTTTTTACTATTTCTTTGGCTTTTGGGTTCTTTTGCAGAGCACATTATAGTTTATAATATAGTGAGTTTTGGTGAGCAACACTGAGTGTAAACAGAACAGTGTTCACCTGGCTGTGAGGGTTTCTACGGGTCTGGAAAGACAATCACGTGTAATTATAAAAAAAAAAAAAAGAGCCTCTGAACACGAGTATCTGCACATTCATCTAATCACACACAAGCTTTCGGTCATAAACCTTCCTCAGACCAAATTCCCTGATGGTTTGTGGCCAAAAGCGTGTATGAAATAAAACTGTGCCAATATATCCTAATGTGTGGAAGCTTGTATCTACAACTTTTCAATTGCAGCAAATTGCATTGAGACACTACTTAAGTGATCCGGGCAAGAGTGAAACTCAGATGGATTTTGGCAATAGCAGTGCCTGAAATGGACCTCTGATTTTTGTCCACATGAACACCCTTACTTCCCACCGTACTCTGCCTCTGATTGGATATTGTCTTTGTTGGTTTGGTCGGGTAGGTTCAGGCAGGTGGAATACAGCTGGTAGAAAAGAAAAATCGGAGGAAACATGTTCTGCATTTTCATCTTCTTTCCTAAACTCACATTGTTCTGTTGTTTTATAGAATAAACCTGCATCAATACGTCTTATTGATAATTCTTTTCTCATCTTTATTTCCATATTTGGTGTTGAGGTAATCCAAAAGTAACCGAAAGTACTCTAGTTACTTTAATATTGTGATGCTTGGATTAGGTTACTGACTCTTTTTGAACAGGTAATTAGTAATTGTATCAGATTACAT